CTTCCTGTGTGAAGCGCCAGACCCATTCACACTATGAAACGATGATGGTGATGTATGTTCAGGGCTGCATTACAACATTGATTGTTCGGATCACTGGTATCTAAGTCTTCCGCTGTGCTATCTTATATTTGGTATTGAAAGGTCGGTTCTTGTTCTGGTCTGCACCTATACGGTATGCAACAGTGTGTGTGTGTGTGTGTGCGCACATGGGCAGGTGTGTGTGTGTGTGTGTGTGTGTGTGTGTGTGTGTGTGTGTGAGGGGTGGGCAGCATTGCGGGTACGTGATTCTTACTCTGGGAATATAAGGAGGTGGTATTTTTGCTTTTGACGAAGCAGGTCATGCTGATCTTTTGCTGTGTGTTTTTTTCCAGGGTTAGGGCAGGCACGAGCGGAGAGATTCACCTCCAGCCAATGCAACATGGTGGGAAGAAATGACTAGGAGGTTCAATTGGCGACACTGCGATGCATTGGAGGCCTTTGGTCCTGAGCACTCTTTCACCTGATCATTCTGCCATGGCGGGTGCAGGAATGGGCTTAAATCTTTCTGTTGAAATCTTGCCTCCGGCAGGACTTCTCAATTGCAGGCAACCACCAAAGCGGTGTCGCAAGCTGTCTCGACTTGTTGGCATTGTTGACTGTCGTGATGCTGCAAGTGCAGTGTGGCGATGGAACTCGGACAGTTTTGGTTACCCTTCGTTCCGCCCTTTATTGCCCTTGAACCTGTCAGTTGATTGGGAATGTTGTTTGATTGGACTTGTCTTATCGTCGTTGGTTGATTCCTTGGTTTATGAACTATTAGTTGATCGGTGTGGCTTGCTGGCTTGCTGGCTAGCTAGCTAGCTGGATCGTTGGCGGTTGTAGGGCCAGGAAGTGGGATCTGGTGTTCTGCAATGGGTGAAACACGTGGTGGTTGATGGCAGTACCCAGGCAGATTACCTATTGCAGATTCTTACTTCCTGGCAGGAAATTTCAATTAGCTTATATTATGCCTTCGCCCCCTGCCCTCCCCCCCCAAATCCCCACCCCACCCTTTTCTAAACCCCTGCCGCCGCCACCACCAGCAGCATGGAGACGTCTCCACCCTGTGCTGGGTTCCTTTCACTGTTTGGCTGACGTTTTCTCTGCTGGACTCGCCTCCTACCTCTTGCCCTTCTCTTCCCTCGTCCCTCCCTCCCTTCTCTACCCTCCTCCTTCGTCCGCTTGCATCCCCCCTTCCGTTACGAGTTTCTGTCACGTACTTGTGGAGGACCAGCGCTTGTGACAGTAGAAGTGAAGTATGCGATGGCGCACTCAGGCTGCAGACGTCAGTTGGATGCCCCGCTGAATTGGTGGCAGTGGCATTGTCCAGAACCTTAGCTCCGTGATGTCCAGGGGAGACACTTGGCGTCAGGTAGTCGAGGGTTGTGGCATGATGCGGCAAGGGGGGAGGGGGGGGCACACGGGGAGTAAATCGGCGCAAGGGGGGCGGTGTAAAGTAGATAAGATACTTTGGGATTTCTGCATCGGGTAGAGAGTACTGTAGTGACACCAACCCTAAGGTGCATTTAGCCAGGAAGAAGACCAGCAATGACAGTGCTAGTTGGTAGATGATCACCAACCGGTGACCACCACGAGGATGTGATATCACTACTTGTTGCATGTGTTCTACTCGTTGCATGCGTTCGCCGTCCCTCTCCGCTCTCTGCTTGTTTGTCTGAATGTGTGTTCCAGCGGGCATGCTCTGCATGGTGTATGTGGCAGTCGGCCGGGTTTTGCTAGAGAGAGGGAATTGGTCGACCAGGCCCAATGGGCGGTTCGGTGGCCAGACATATAGCAGTTCTTGTTATAATAGGCCCCATTGGGGAGAGGGGGGGCGGGTGGGGGCGAAGAAAGGCCCAGAGGAGGCGGACAATTCTTGATATTCACATTGTTGGGATTTGATGAGAGCAGGCATGACCCGAATGCCCACGTGCACACGCAAATACGCTTTCTTCGTGGAGTTGTGTTTAGCGTACACACAAGCACACACATGCACATGTTCACACACAAGTCAGTGCTATTGGAGGATGACGTGCGATGTGACATCAACATCATTATCATCATCAGGATGCTCTTTGCATGCAAGAAGAGTTGATTCATCCGCATGAAGGGTTCGTCGACTCGCTGCTGTTAGGAATGCGTCTCAGCTCTCCTCGGCACTATCAAGGTGATTTCAGTGAGACCTGAGCACAGGCCCGACGGCGGCGAAGGTGATTTCAGTGAGACCTGAGCTCAGGCCCAACTGATCAGTCTCGATGCTCTCCCGCCGTTTGTTGCTGGCCATATGGTTTTCCTTCTCTCCCCTTGACCTTTGTAATTCTTTGGTTCCTAATGTTGTCAGAGATTTGTCGATCTTGATCTAGATTCTAGAAGCTTCCTGGCAAAATTGCCCTTGTTTACACACCCCTTTTTCCCCCATCTAATTATTATTTTTAGATCAATGGAAATCTTGAAGGCACTCGTTGTGCCGCTGCCTGCCGTCTGAATATGCTCCAGGTAAGGTGGGTTACGCTCTGTATTTGTCAGCTTCGTTGGGGTTCTGACTGGTACTGATGGACCCCTCTCTGACTAGATGGTGACGAGGATGGCTGCCTACCTCTCTGGACTGTTCTTGTATTCTTTTGCACTGCTGCCCTATTCTTGCTGCGGAGTCGACGACTGGTGCCAGCGAGGAATGTGCTGCTCACTCTTTGACTTTTTTCTCAATTAGATAGTTCTCACAAATTTTGCTGCTCTCCTTTTTTTCATGGGGGTCAAGGAAATTTGTGGCATTTTTGGCCAAAAAATCTTTCCTGTCCACCCTGTGTGTGTGTGTGTGTCTGCTCTCTCTCTCTCTCTCTCTCTCTCTCTCTCTCTCTCTCTCTCTCTCTCTCT